AATATATATTCTATAAGGTACTGGTATCATCTTTTATTCAGTTACCTCTCTGAAATTTTGTGCAGTATGTTTAATGTATATTTTGAAGGCATCGTTCAGTTTATTTTTGACTATGTCAAGGTTTTTTAAGCCCTTATATGCTGTTGTAGTTACACTTTACTATTACCGTTGCGAGTACGTTAAACTTGACCGAAAATTGGAGTTTTAATTTTTTTCAAATTTTGACCTGAATGCCAAGGATTATAACAAAGGTTTAAAAAATATGTATCAATTGGAATAAAAGCGCACAAAACTATTTGGCAAGCGAGTACAGGATTGTTAACGGAAAGACGACATGTGTGAAGGATTGAGCATGACAACCCTGTCCTAAAGTATCGCCAGTCGGGGTGACAGAAAATGATACCGAACATTCAACATGTTTTAAAGATGATATAAAGGACAAACCCGAATTTATTGCAACCTCGGTAACAAATGACTTGAAATTTTCAGAGAAGATTTTTACACGATTTTTTAGTGAGACAACAATCGACCAGGGTTTAATGGCAACCTAATACCCTCTTTTCAAATAGGGAATCCAAAAGCTGTCTTTAAACTTTGAACAGTTAATAAAAATAAAACAGCTAAAAAGGAAAAATCCTTTAAATTTGTCGAACCTCTTAACGGAATCCCTTTATGAAGAGCTTTGAGTGGGTTGGAGTACTTGACACTGATGAAGTCTGCAAGTAGTAGACGAAATACGCGTATCTGTCAAAAGATAAGCAATTATAACGGAATTAAAAGGAAATAAACCAACCCACTCAAAGCTAAAAAGGGTTATCTTCCATTTAATTCCACTTAATTAATTTTGGTATCCCAACCCAATTTCATTACTTCATTTGTACAGTTGCGAAGAAAGTCCATCCTCAGAATTCCTTAAGGTTCTTTTCGAAGTTTTTAGAACTCTGTGAACTCTTTTAAAATTCTTTTCAGAAGTCGTCTGGAATTATTTTTAGAACTCTTCTTGACTTTTACTCAGCACACCTTGGAACTGAAATTCCCTTAGAGTTTCAGAAGAATTTCCTCAGAATTATCCAGAAATTATTTCCGGAATAAGCTAGAAATTATTGGTACTCCTTTGTCATTTTATTCAAAATCCCTTTGGAATTTCTATCAAAATTTAATTTTCTCGGTATTCTTTTCGGAATTATATTGGAACTATCTACAGGATTCACTAGAAATTACCCGCTAAATTTTCTTGGAATACTTCCCAGAAATCCTTTGGAACTGTCCTATGAATTCAATATCCTTGAGGTTCTTCTCGGATTATCTAGTACTCTCCCAATAGCTCTTTTGAAATTCTTCTCAGAAGTCCACTGGAATTATATTTAGAACTCCTCATGATTTTTTCTCAGAAAACCTTAAAACTGAAATTTCTTCAGAAATTCTTCCCCGTTTCTAGAAATTATCCTCGGAATTCACTTGAAATTTTCCTTAAAATCCCTTTGAAATTTCACTCAAAATTTTATTTTCTCAGAATTCTTCTCGAAATTATCTTGAAACTATCTGCAAGATGCACTAGAAATTATCCGCAGAATTTTCTTTAAATTCTCCCCAGAAATATTTTAGAACTGTCCTAGGAATTCAACAGCCTTGAGGTTCTTTTCGGAATAATTTGGAACTTTTTTTTTCTCAGAACACCTTGGAACTGAAATTCCTCTAAAATTTCAGAAGAAATTCCTCTGTATTCTCAAGGAATTTTTCCCAAAATGAGCTTGAAATTACCCTCGGAATTTCCTTGACATTTTCGCCAACATTCAGAATTTGATTCTTTCGGTATTCTTTTCGAAATTATCTTAGAACTAGCTGCAGGATTCACTAGAAATTATTCGCAGAATTTTCATGGAATCATCCCCAGAAATCTTTTCTATTAGAACGGTCCTCAGAATTCAATACCCTTGAGGTTCTTCTCGGAATTCAAGTTTAAGTTTTCCGTCCATTCACCAAAACGTTGTAGTTTTTCTACCAGAAATGTTCAATAAAACTTGCCCCTTCATCCATCAGAACTGTGTAATTTTTACGTCAGGACTTTTCAATTCAGCTTGCCCCTCCATGCAGCAGATTGTCATACCAGAAATTTTCAATACAAACTTGCCCCCATAAAATTTCAACTGACCAGAACAATGCAAATTTTCCACCGTTAATGTTCAATAAAAATTGCTTCTCCAATCTTCTGATTAGTGCAAATTTCCTTTTTCCATTTTCCACCAGACATTTTCAATATAGCTTGCTTCTCCTATCATCAGAATGTTGCAGGTTTTCCACCAAATAAAGCTTGCCCCTATTTTCATATTTTGAGAATGTTCAGTAAATCAGCTTCCCTCCAATCATCAGAATGTAGTAGCAGCTTGCCAAATCAGGCCAACACTTTACAGGTCCATGTATGGAAGAATACGTTTTTTCAGGCTTGTACATTTTGGAATCCATAGTCCATAGTGTCACGAAAACCTGGGTTTTTTGTCCGCAACTGCAAATACCTTGCCAGATCATAAGCTGTCTTGCAAATTTATCGGCAAAAACGAATTTGAACTAGCTTTGAACTTTTGCTTTAGACCGGGAAGCTGCCCATAATCCATCTTCACGTACGTTTCGTCGTCCATGAGGATGCATCATTTGTACTTTATAAGAACCTCATTGTACAACTTCCGGGAACGTTTTTTGGTCAATAGATTCTGCTTCAGTATCCTGTTTGGTTGCTTACTGGCCCGAAAAGATCGAAATCCTTCTCGCTGACGAATCTTTCTGACGGTGCTTTGGGTGGCATTGAAATTCTTGGCGATATCATAATCCGACAGCCCTGGGTTGCAGCTTCCGATCCTTAGTTCCATTACGGAATTTCGGAATTACGGATTTTCCAAGTGGTTGTCGAAAACAATTTTCGATTTGTGGCTTCCATCAAGCATAACTTCTTTTAAACAAAATGAATCGTGACCTACTTTTCAGCACTAAAAGAGGAAACATTTCAAAACGAACTGCTGTCAAAATATTCGAGATCCGACCGCTAGGAGCACTGCAGTAAAATAAACAGTGCGTCCAGACATCTCTATATTAAAATTTATTTTTAAGCTTTGCTGGATATGGCTGAAAACAGGATCACATGCATGTAATTTACGTGATGTTAACCAGAGCGTTAGTGATTAGTCATAAAGTAATCATGATTATTGATTAATGGTAAAGATTAATGATTAATCATAATCACTTATCATAATATTTTAGTGATTAATCATTAATATGAATCAAATTTCTCAAATAATTTAATAATTATTCACAATGATTGGAAATGAACTAATCAATGAATAATCAATCATCAGTCAAGATAATCCTCAGATCACGCAGCACTGCTTTTATGTTTTATCTTAATTCGCCATAAGATTTTTTTTTCCGATTTTTTATGATTGTCCCAAAAATTCTCTGAAAATTTCATCCATAATTCTGTTTAAAATTCACATCCATAGTGAAATCACCCTTGAAAAAAAATTGAAATTCAGAACAAATGTATCTACGAGCTCTGCTACGAATATTTTTAAAAATCACTTGGAATTTTGCTCGGAATTCTCTACAAATGTTTCTCGAAGCTATAAACTGGAATTCCCTTGAATCTCTTCTCAGAATCATTTCGCAATTATACCCGGAAATTTGGTTTATTTGGTATTCTTCTCGAAATTAGCTTGGATCTGACCCTTGTTTTCTTAAGGAATTATCCTCAGATGACATTCTGAGCTGCAACAAAGATTACAATACCATATTTCCAGATAACTTTGAGATATAGGCGTAATTGATTTTGTAAACAAACACGTCAATCTCCGATGTCTCGCGAATAAAAGATACATCTCGTGAACTTATACCATATGATAGAGGAATCATTCCTCTACCTGATTGTGTTGTTAGCTTTTTAGCCTGAGCTTTTATTCGCGAAAGTCGACATGATGAAACATTTTTTATACGAAATTAGCATTTGCAACCTTGCTTTTCAGCCTTACAGTTTTAGCTTCCAAACTGCCCCAAAAGACACCCATTATATACCGGCCAGATCGTTAAAGTGCAATTAATTTCCTTTGAGCAAGTGACCAACGACGTAAGCAGATGCAAACGGGTAAACCAGGAAAAAAGACATTCATTCAATTACAAACAACTTGAAAATGAAACTATGCCAATCACGTTTTCAATTTGCATCTTCCCGTTGATGGTGATAAACCGCCCTTCAATTAGTCATTCAAAACCTCACACCACTCCGTATCATCTTCTACTTCTTCCGTACCTTGAGTAACAAACTGTACGTAAATCAATTATGGTGCAATGGATACTCTCTGCACCGATAAACCCATTCGGAAAATCATTAGCTATGAGGGAAAAACTAAAGCGTCGCTCAGCACTTTCCCACTGACAAAAGACGTTCGTTCGTGTGCCTGCCCCCAGCATCTTTCCAAACAACCCTGAGTGAGCGAGAACATGTATAGCAACACAGGGCCCATTACTAATGCATAAAACTCAATTATGGCATCGAACCAGAAGAAACAAGAATGCAGAAGAAAGCGCTTTCTCTTCCTCGCTTCTAACTAATAGTCTCGTTTCTGTCAACTGCATGCTGGAATAATACTGCCCTCTCTGTCTCTGTGTTGCCCCATACCGAAGCATCCGTGTTCCATGCCTCCCCGGGGGACTACCCTCCCGGTTTGTCTGCTCTAACACTTTTCTCTATGTCTCTCTCTCTCTCTCTCTACTAAACACCCGGTCTTGGTCCAATCCTGCCCCGTCACCCAGCATTCTTCTTCGGCCCATGTAAATGTGTATGAAAAGCCAGCAGAATACTCACTGACCTAGAGCACCAACCAAGCGAACAACTAAAATATATAGCCATGTACCGAAGCAACTCTGCTCTGAATAACAAATGAAGCTTGAAATTAATATCATTCTCTTTTCGTCTCTCTTTTGATCTCACCCGGATTTGTCCTGTTTTCTTGTAGCTTCAAGTGACATCGAACCAGACATCCAGTTCGCCTTCGCTAATCCAGAGCCTGAGCCCGACGTCACCGACTCAGCTGAAGGCACCACCCAGCCCGATCCTAAACATAATGGGTGCGGCCGGTCATCACCACCATCACGGGCGAGGGTCGATGCGAGTTTCCTTCAAGGAGCGCCTCAAGAGCATGCAGCGGCAAGAATCCAAGGCAGAACCCCGGCCTACTCCCGCCATTCCCGAAGCCACCGATATGAACCAACACCTGCTAACGAGTGGACCGGTCAAGACCGGTAAACCATCTGCGGCTCAATCGTTGAAAGATAAAATACGATCCCTCGGACATTTGCAACGGTCCGACGATCAGCTTAAACCATGGTCCAAGCTTAAGTTAGCAACCGTAGTTAGCATAGGAGGCAGCTATTCCAGTTTGAACAACAGTATGAACGATGATTTTCCGATCCTCGAGCAGACAAAGAAAGCCGGAGCACGTCACAAGTCATCGATCCCGGCGGATTTGAACCTTAACTCGCTGGTCTCCACAACTCCTCCACCGATCTCGTCCGCACCACCGATCACCAAGCCCAGCAAGCCCATGTTCCAACCACCGAGCAAAGTGTTCAGCCGTAGTACGTACATTGAGAAGGCATGCGTCAGTGATAGTGAAGTAGTAAGCAAGAAACAACCCCCGCCTCCACCAGCACGTGTACGAATGAAACCCAAACCGATCAAACTGATCACCGAACCCACAAACTACAAAAGCTACATGTCCATAGACGACCTCTCGCCTGAATATAGCGGCCTTCCGTTTGTCAAGCGCCTCAAAATATTAAACGAACGCCAAAAGCTTGCCGAACTCGAGTCGGCAATGCAAACCCGTAGCCTTAGTCTAGATTGTACCGATTCCAACAGCAGCAACGCCGGCTATGACCTCGCCGAGCAGCTGTCCCGTAGTAGGAGCGAAGGTTCCGGCATAGGTCTAGTCCGCTCGAAGAGTGCCTCCCCACCGACTTCCACCGTCAGCCACAGCACTCCCCTCAGTCCGGAGTCGAACGAAACGCCCGAAAGGCGCCAGCTGAAGAGCATTCTCAAAAAGCTGTCCGAAGACAAGCTGGCCCTAGATCAACGGCAGGGCATTCCTAATCGGGACCTGAGGAAGCTGATGCGAGCCCAAACGGTTGAAGGGTACGTTGCTAGACACAGCAAGTTTGCGAAGAGCGTCACCTTCAATAGAAACACACTCTCTAGCCCCCCAACCAGTGCTAACGTTTGTGAATCTATTGAAGAACGTACTCTTTTTCCCATCCCTAGCGCACAAAGTACCACCACAACCACCACCACCACAACCGGCACGACGAACTCAACCAGCGACGAAAGCTCGGTAGCCACCGTGGCGGAGAACAAAAACTTCACCGTCTCAAAGGATCCGTTGTCCGTTGTTGCGGCAGACCACGGGGACATCGACGATCAGCATGCGCTGGTCGTCAGCAATAACGGGTACTACGAATCGGGGGTTGACCAACGGTACATCACCAACGGGGATCATCCGCATCATCCGGTCGATGATTCGCCCTCGAAAGGCTCGCTTTCGGCGTTCGGAGGGCAGAGGAAAATCATCAAAGGTACGTGTAGTGTCCCTTGCATGGTTGTGATCATCACTTCGACACACTTGCTTCCAGTCCTTTATTTAAGCGCTACGAATCATCCGCGAATCGGCAACTCCACATCGACTTTCATAACGCTTGCCTTCAGTTCTATTGGTAGACTTGATTCGAAACTTTTTCAACTTCTAGCTTCGCTTTCAATCTTTTTTTATGTTATCATTATAAGTTTCCACACGTTCACGAAAGTGCAGAAATTTTTCGACTCGGCTCGTATGTTTTGATTGTTTTATTTGCAGGTACACGATGCTTGGGATTGATTTTGCTTGGTCGTTTTTGCTATTGGACGCGTTGTTTCAAGTTACTCTGTTGTAGATATTTTCTTTTTTCTAGTGTGAGCAACATTGTGCCTTTTACGTACTTCAACGATAGACACTCGCACTGTTATAGAAAACATTCAACTTTTTATAAGAAAATACACTATCGCAAGAATCAGATGCAGCGTCGTAACTATGAGGGTGGGCAGGGGACCAGGCCGTCGCCAGATTTGTTAGGCTCCGCCTAATGTTTTGAACCAGATTAAACAAAATATTTCTATGGAACTTGAATTTTGTTCACGATTCAAAGTCTATGAAACAGACTCACGAATCGATAAAAAAAAACTATCAGTTTTTAGACTTCTTTGCAGAAAACTCTCATAGAACTCTTTTGAATTTTATCCCAATCAGACAAACAGTTCCGGAGATTTGAGAAAATATGTGGAATCAAATCGTAATATTTACTCACTTTAACTCGGTGATGACTGATCCAATTCTAGTGTAACCGGTTCAATTTTGTTTATATCAGAGAACGTAATTTTCAACCGCTCACAGAAGAGAAACATAATTCAGGGGAAACATGTCAGAAGAGTCTAACTCGAAACGTATATAATGACTTGGATCGTCGGTTTCCCCTGAATTTTTCAGCCGCTTGAAAAAATATATGAGAATGTGAGAAGCGAGAGCAGTGCTGTGCATTATCATAACGGTTATTGTACCTTGACGGTCATCCTCGCATAACCGTCACATCTCAGAAATGACGGTCAACTAGCATATCACTTGGAAACACCTCTACCTCACTAGACCGTCTTCATAAAAGCCATCCATGACAGTTAGATTAAATGACAAGGAGAGAGAAGCAAAATCATTATCTCACTGATCATCTCTGTTGGTCATTTATAAGTGGGAAATCAGAATAATGCTCCCTCATTTTCCTGTTCTTGCTAAAAGTTGAGTTCAGAACATATGCAACATTTTGAAGGAAACGTTGGATTTTCATTTTCCTTGTAACAAATAAATATGTGGGTGCTATTACGTTACAGTGTCGAAAAATATCCATTTATCTTCAAAAATTCAATTTCTTAACATGCAAATTAAAGTCACTTTCACTTTTTTTTTATGATCCATCGGAAATATCAATTCTAGATAAACATTTCAAAAGGTCCTATCTGCATTGATCGATTCTCTTCATCGACTTTCTCTTTCGTCAATAACTCAGCTGCAAAACCTTTCCCTGTTGTACTTGACGATTTGGACGCTAGATAAGAACCCCCTTTATCAAACTATGTAGTAGAATCAGCGCGAAATCTGTTTGCATAGTAGTGGTTATGAAAAAAGAAAGTCGATGAAAAGAATCGATCAAAGCAGATAGGACCATTTGAAATGTTCATCGAGAATTCTCCTTTACGTACGCGTCATTGTTTACGATGCTTAATAAATCTAAAACTGACACAATTCACAATTGACAAGCTCACGAGAATGTTACTGTCAAAACAAATATCTTTTCAACGTTATTACGTTTCGTGTGAAAAGTGAAGAGAAAAATCTTAAATTTTTGAATTGCTCCAACCAACAGGTGGAACTTCGACAAATCAGTGCGAAACCGAACTTTTTGTCGGTGCAAACCTCAACCTGAGCTGGGTTTTAAAAGCAAACGATCAAACTGACGTTTGTCCGAAAACAAGCAGATCCAATCTTGATACCCGATCCAGGTTGGAACTGAATAATAAACGAATTCGCTATTAATTTTAGCGAACATTTATTAAAATACATTGTGTTCCCTAACGGACTTCAAAGTAATGATTTGAAGTTTTCATTGTTGATGGATACCAATGGTTGCTTTGATTGCTAGCCTCAATTCCAATATTTAAAGGGGAATTCCTATTTACGCAAGGATTTTTTTATTGGTTTTGCTTTTTACGGATCCCTTGATACTTTGGGCTTCGGTAATGTGGATACGAAATGCGGTCAGCAGCCTTATTCTTGGAGCTCAAGCGTCACGGTTTCCGAAAAAATGAATAGATGCAAACCCTCTATCCATGAATAAGCATTCGTGACTGCAGGTAGTATGTGTTCATGCACATATGAATTCTTACAATAATAATTATTGGTTATGATACGATTGTATAACGCAGGATAAGACTTTTTCCTTGATACATCACAGTTATCGCCTCATCTGTGAATTTGGAAGAGGAATGACCGTCATAACCGTATTTATGCTCGAAATGAGATGACGGTCAATTTATATGTCTGTTTATATTTCCTCGGTGATATGATGGTAGGGTAGTTGATTCTGGTTGGACCTATCCAAAAACTGATGATGGTTGGACCTATTTTTTCAATCGCTAGTTTAGTCAATCTTCGCTAATTTTTACCCTTCTTACAAAGAAGGGTATAGATATCACTTGAAAAACCGACTATCGATCCGAGGCCCGGAGGGCCGAGTGTCATATACCATTCGACTCAGCTCGACGAGATCGGAACATGTCTGTGTGTGTGTGTGTGTGTGTGTGTGTGTGTGTGTGTGTGTGTACGTATGTATGTGTGTATGTGTGTGTGTATGTAACGAAATGAATGCGCTCACGTTTCTCAGCAACCGCTCAACCGATTTGAACAAACTCGGCGCCAAATGATAGGTCTTGGGGTCCCATTGAACGTTATTGAACGGTTTTGGAATCGGTGAACCGGTTCCGGAGATATGGCCGGAATAAGCTCCGGTGAATATGGGCCTTCACGCTGGATTTAACGGAAAACGTATCAAAACCATCGTGTCGCATCAAATTACTACAGAATTCAAAAATAAGATCAATTCAAGTCGTGTTAAGTGTTCCAGACCACATTGGACACACTTGGACATGTTCCGGGTACCCCGGGGAAGTTGCTTGAATATGAATTGAATTAAAACCCATTAAATCACATTAAAATACGATGATAAGGTGATTGGTAGCCTCACCAAATAGACTACACCCGGATATATTCCGGGTACCCCCAGGCAGTGGCGTAGCGTCACTGGATGACACGGGGGTGGGGGCTTGGTCACTGATAATGACAATAAAATAAATAAACTTGAATAAGTAAGAAGGGTCTGATCACACCATAGGTGGATAAATTCGGGTTTTTATTTTCAAAGATCACTTTACTATCATAAAAAACTCTTTTTCTTCAATTTGCATGGGTGTTTTATTGAAAAAACTTCAAAACAATTGAGTTTCAATGTGTTTTCAAAACAGTTCACTTTCCACGCATTAGCTCGTCATCATGCCTTACTTGCAAAACTTACAAAATAGGAACATTTTTACATTTATTTTTATTTTCATGCAGTAAAATACTGCTTTAAGGTGTAAACAACACGTTAGTACGCCATTTATCCATTGGTTTTGTAATAATCGAGATGTTGTGATAAATAATAAAGGGACTTCAATTTACATACGCTTTACAAAGTGTTTATTCTCGACGTTTTCACTACACTCCTTGCGTACCTTCACTGCCCGCTCTTTACTCACCCAGGCCCGTACTTTACTAATCAATCATTTTACATTTATACTCTTTTTATTAGGAACCATAAAACAGGGCCGCACTCGGCACCACATCTCCCTTTGTTTAAATTTAAGAAGTTACATGTAGTAATCGTTGAGTCGGGCCGGTTTCTTCTTTGATCTACGCTGTCGGCTTGATATGGTCAGTCTTGGTGCTTCAGTCACTTCTTCTGACTCAAAGCCAAAGAAATCTTCTTCTGATGATGCCTGCAACTGCGCCTGATCTTGATGGTTGTCATCGGATGCTACATTTGGCTCAGCCAAGGTTTCAGCCTCAAGGTCCACAGCCTTTTTGAGATGTGCAACATTCCTGTCATAAGATTTTCCGTTCTGAGGGTCTTCAACTGTTACACGAGGGCCTGATCGTGAGATAACTGTATACTGCTTTGGGTTGAAGGTCGTGGAAAGCTTGTTACTTGGCGTTAAATTCTGCATCAGAACAGTATCACCCGAATCGATAGAAGATCTTCTAGCTCGACGACGGGTATCTTCTGCCCCCTTCCCTTTTCCCTTCGATTCTTGGTCTCGATCACGGAATTCTGTGTTCTGTGGGGCTGTCTCGATGTCTCCGATCGTAGGTAGCTTCGAACGAATCGTGTGTCCATACATAAGCTCGGTTGGTGTTTTACCAGTAGTCGAGTGGGGCGTTGTATAGTACATGATTAGGTAATCATGCAAGTCCTGTTTCCAATCTCTACCAAGCGCAGCGCTGATCTGAAGTCGTTTCACGAGAGATCTGTTTTGACGTTCGACGAGGCCGTTTTCTTGTGGCCAATACGGCGTCGAATGATTCAAAGTGATTCCGTGTAGTTTGCTGTATGTCTCTAGCTCCGTGCTGACAAACTGCTTGGCATTGTCCAGCGTTATAGTCCAAGGATATCCCAAGCGAGTGAAAATCCTGTCAAGCCTGCTTATTGTCTCTTTGGCCGTTATTTTGGACATTACTTCCACTTCTTTATAACGACTATAATAGTCGATAATTACCAACAGGTACGAACCACAAGGCAATGGGCCGAGGAAATCTATCGCGGTGTCGATCCATGGACCAGATGGTAGCGGACGGCGACTCATTGGTTTGGGTCTGCTAGGTAATCCTACCAAACGACAGCCATCACAGGTCTTCACTCGAGTCACAGCCTCATTGTCCATACCCGGCCATCAAACACGA